CTATTAAATATAAAAAGCTAGTAATAACTTTACTTTACTAAATAGTATTTTTTTAATAATTAAGTATAAAGGTACTAAGGAATAAAAATAATAATATATATTTTATAGTTTTTATAGTAATCTTATATAAGCTTTAGAATTGCTCTAGGTATAGCAGTTACTATAGATTTATATATTAATTATATATAGATATATATTTTCTAATTATAGCCTTTATTTATTTTATAGCCCGTTGTGTTATCCGGGGTTTGCATATTGCACATGTATAACTTCTGAACTCTAATTCTTATATCCATCCATTACTGTAACCACATTGCTTCAGTCAATACCACTTATTAGGCGCCTTACCCCCTTAATGGAAATCCACACTTCGATTAAGCTCACACAAGACCACTCTCTATACGGAGTACGTCCATACATACATCCATAGATAGGTACTAAGGTCGTCAAACGAGCTTCGTCATCCTAAATGGCCCCGTAATCCGTGCCTGCTTTCTACGCTTGGACTCTCTGTTGATCGGAAAGTGGGCGATCTGGTATCAATACCCACGCACTCCTGAGAGCTTTGTCCTATATGTGCCAACAATATGATAGGGACATCTCAAAGTCTGAGTCTTCGCGAGTCAATGCGACGTATAGGGACCAAGGTTATAAGGAGGTTGTCAAGGATTATTATCAGGCGCACATGGATATCAATTGTGACCCGGCCCTACGATCCGATCGATTTGTTTGCAATGCTTGTATGTATGTATCATTGGATGCTATCCGTATCATCCCGCCTGTTTACCTCCCTGCGGGTACTATGCACAAGCATCAACGATATAAGGTAGTTAGCATTGATAGCTAGCATATCATCATCTCCCTCATATCACCTTCGGCATACCCATCTTCACCAGCAGTGTTCCAACATTGAAGGCGGTCCTTCAATATACCGTGCATTTGCAGTTGGACAAAACGGTCAATGCATAAATCCAAGGGGGGCAAGAGAATTAAGACTCGTTTTCTAAATGATTCAAAAACTCAGGTAAACTCAATAGGAGTTGAGTTGGTTTGGTACAACTTAGTAGAGCCTTGATCAACTATTCTTGGTATCGTAATTAGAGGTAAGTAGTCTCTCATCCGCGGGCCGGCAATCATGAAACGAATAACCATAAGCTATAGCCAATGGATTCTATAGCCCCTCAAAACTGAACTGTTCATTCTCAAATATATCTCACTGTTCCAATACGCTCGATAAGAAAATCCTAGGCGAAGATGAACCTTGTACCAGGAATGCATTATCGATTTAGACTATCAAAGCGGAGGCAGGTCGATTTGAGACCTCTGTTCTAAATGATAAGAATAATCATATAAACTTAGATTGGACTTGGGAGACCTTTACACTACTTTTTCTTGGTACTCAAGGAAGCTGGGGTCAGAGGTTTCCTTGCTCTTTGAGGACTATGCAACTGGCCCAGGGCAGATTTTGAAAGATTATTCTACCAAAGCCCACAGTCTCCGAGTGATGTTACCCCTAACGGGCGGTGGTCTCTCTGCAGCCAGTACTTCATCCATCCCTTCATACATATCAATATCTTCAGAATCTCTAACCCATCCATCTCCCCGATGATACAGCCGGTGACCAAAGTAGATGAGCAGAAACGCAGGGATGCCGATGTAAGCCGTGAAAAAATCACCAACTGACCATTTTGAAGGAAAGAAGACAGTGAATCCGTTGATGAGCAAAAGAATGATGGAGACAATGACTCCGAAGTACATGCCCCATGGCTGTAGGCGGGAGTGATATGGGGACTCCAACTTATGATGAGTGATGGCTTTGCGGTATCTCACGTAAATTATACCACAGCAGATCCAACTAATATAGCCGGAGGTATTGGTGAGGTTGATTAGCCAGTTGAAGACTGTCAGACTACTATTTGACAGGCTAAGGTATGCTAGGCATCCAAGGGAGGCAGTGACCAGTACCGCATAATATGGAAGGCCGTATCTATTGCATCTCTTGAATATCGCAGGTGCATATCCGGCCTTTGCAAGTGAATAAAGATTCCGAGAGGCAGAGTAGAGGAATGCGTTCGCAGCCGTGATCGCCGAAAGGAGGATCAGTGCATTAACGATGCTGTCCAGTACAGGGATGCCGGCGTTCTTGATGGCAATAATGAAAGGTGAGCGCGCAGTCCCAGGTGCTGTAAGTCGGGGATCATTTGATGCGCAGACTACACCAATTCCGAGGACGGAGGGCATAAAAAGAACGACCAGGCGCCAAATGTATCGTCGAGCGGCTCGGGGGAGGTTATAGCGTGGTGATTGCATCTCGCCTGCTGTCACAATGAGTTGTTCAGGGGCCAAGACGAATGCGAAGGATGCTAGAACAAAAGACTGAAGTAGTGCAACGAGTCGTCCGGCATTACCCTCCACGATATAAGCGCTCACTGGACCGGGGTCTTTCCAGTATCGAAAGTAGAGAGCATCTTTATCAGGGCCTCCCCCGAAGAACAGCACAATGGAGAGAAATATGAGGCCTAAGATGAGCAGAACTTTCATGCCTGCACTCCAAAACTCGCACTCTCCAAAGACTCTGACCGGGAAGAGGTTAACAATGACAATGACAACATATATGATGGTGATCCATACGGCGCCATTGACCGCAGTGCCCCAATAATTGATGAGAAGTGTAGAAGCGACGAATTCGTAGGGGATCAAGATGCCAAGTGAGTACCAGTAGAGATATCCCATTGCAAAGCCCATGCTGCGAGACACGTATTTGTGTCCGTAGTAGGCCATAGTGCCTCCTGGAACAGGGAGATAGGTTGCAATCTCGGCAATTCCCGTGACGATGCAGTAGATAAGTATAGATAGAACTCCATACGAAATCAAGAGGAACAGAGGACCGCCAATGCGAAGAACCTGGGCCGTTCCTAGGAACAGTGAAGTTCCAATAGCACCCCCTATGGCTATCATCTGCGAGTGCCGAGGCTTGAAGCCACGGTGTGTATCTTCATTTCTTTCGGGGTCGGAGCTACCATTTCGAATGGTTGCAACTTCATCAAGACGACTCGGGGACTTTTCTTGCTCATCCCTGGCTTTGGGAGGATCGGGCCCAGTACTCGTGAGGATAGACTCTGCCATGGCAGGAATGAATATTTATACGCCAACGAGACAAGGTTGAAGAGAAACTTAGGGGAAGAATGGGAGTGTTTTGCACCACATGGAAAGGGAAGCCTTCTTGCTCATTTTATATTCAACAAGAACACACATACCACTCACTACCACACAAGTCACCCCAAGCGGCCATGGCATGTAATGAGGGTGCCTTAGCCAATAAAAAGTCACGATGCAATAACAAAACTACTGGGTACTGAGGTAGGTATCTTCATGAATAACATGAGGAAGGCCAAATCGATAGCGAGAGGTGTCACTCATCTTGGTTTGGTACGATCGCCTTCACTTCTACGGACGACTAGCAATTTACCTATCGCCGGTATATGGAAGCTTGCAAGGCGGGGAAATGTGGAGAAACCTTGTCTATCAGCACCTAGGTAGTTGATAGTAATAGTCTGGGCCTTTCCACGCCGTTGGCGCCGCTATGAAGCTCACCCGGCGCCAACGGCGGGATTTCCTGAGGGGGCTTCATGATAGCTACTTAGGTTCGGGGTTGTTTCGGAGGCTAACACGAAGTTGCTTAAAGTATCCTAGATATCAGGGAGGGCCGAAGGAGAGTTGATGATATGTCGAATATATCTATCAAACCTAGCTCTCAAAGATTCGGATCTAGCATCTAGCAACAGACCATAAATCTCAACTATCCAAGATGGCTCACCCTTTTGTCTCCAACTCGAACATTCTCCATCGTTCGTTCGCTCGCAAGCCCGAAAGAGTCGTTTCTGCCTCGGGTGTATCTCTATTTCTCGAGTCTGGCCGTGAGATCCTTGATGCCTCAGCCGGACCGGCCGTATCATGTCTCGGCTTTGGGCGTCCGGAGATCGCTGAAGTGGTCGCGAACCAGATGAACCAGCTTCCGTATCTCTACTCTGGCGCACGTTTCACTTGCGATGTGACCGAGGAGCTTGCGTCGATGCTTCTGCAAGGGCAGCCCGGTGGCCTGTCCAAGGCCATATTCGTCAACTCTGGGAGCGAAGCCACTGATGCTGCTATCAAGCTCGCAACGCAGTATTGGCACGAGCGAGGAATGTCCCAGAAGCACCATGTCATCGCAAGAAAACAGAGCTATCATGGAAACACGATTGGAGCACTCTGTGTTTCTGGCCACAAATCTCGAAGGGCCATGTACCGCCACTGGCTCTCTCATAATGTCAGCTTCGTTGATCCTTGCTTCGCTTATAGGCTGAAGGGAAACGAATCCGACCAAGGTTATGTCAAGCGACTGGCAGATCAATTCGAGGCCGAGATTCTCCGTATTGGACCGGAGAACGTTTCTGCATTTGTGGCTGAGACTGTCAGTGGAACTACTCTAGGTTGCCTTCCTGCTGTACCTGGATACTTCAAAGCTGTCCGAGAGATTTGCGACAAACATGATGTCCTCTTGATCTTAGATGAAGTGAGTTACTGCTGATTGTACCGATGACCATAGTTCCTAACACATCTTAGATTATGTGCGGTATGGGAAAAACCGGCACTATGCATGCTTGGGAACAAGAGGGCATTTCAGGGCCTGACATTCAGATTATAGGCAAAGCTCTTGGTGGAGGTTTTGTTCCCCTATCTGGCGTGTTGCTTCGCAATAAGATATTCGACGCCCTTGCAGACGGATCTCAGGGATTAGCCCATGGACACACATTCCAGGTAAGCTTTATATGACGAGAGGTTGACGAGGAGCTGGCTGACTTTCTCGATAGGCTCATCCAGTGGCTTGCGCTGCAGCCCTCGAGGTTCAACGCATCATCCGTGATGAAGATATTCTCACTAACGTCCAAGAAATGGGTAAAGTCTTGGAGAGACTTCTGAGAACAAATCTTGGACATATGGAATATGTCGGCGATATCCGTGGGCGTGGTCTTTTTTGGGCGGTTGAGTTCGTTCAAGATCGTCGCACCAAAACACCCTTCCCGGCAAACATGAGACTGTGCCACCAGATCGTGGACAGGGCCCTTGATCTGGGCTTGAATATTTTGGGAAACCTGGGTGAAACTGGTGATATCCATGTTGATCATGTGATAATGTCTCCCCCATATGTGGTAACCGAGTCTGAATTGGAGCGGATGGTCGGCATTCTACGGGACTCTATTCAGACTGTGATGTCTGAGGTTGTTGATATTCATGGGGCGCGACTCTTAAGTATGCTTCAAAACAGGTAGTTCATTCGCTGCAGTAAAAGTTCATCAAACCCCGACCCGATGTCCATTCAGATATTGTAAATGGCTATCAGTCCGTCTAAGTTCCATGGGTTTTAGCCTTTTGAGAAAAGAAACTGGTGCGGCCCACGACTGTAGCCACCGAGATAGCTAGTCAAGATAGGTAGCTAACAACTCCAATCAATTTTGCAGTATTACAAAATCTTTCCTTGTGCCTGCTCCTTTCTGACTCGTTGTCTGTCTATTCGATATCTGCACTATCAAGCTCGGCCAACGATCTACATAGTACCCCAGGATTAGGTTCCCCGCATAACCCCCACGTTGCCATCTTCAGATTAGCCTCTCCCGCCCATAGCGCCGTGCATGAGTATCGTTGATAACGGGATGTGACCCGAAACTTTCGATCTTCAAATATTCCTCTCTAATTCTCTTTCTTCATATCACCGCCCATAGCGCTCTTGGCCATTTCTAAAGCTCACTCGGGCTCATAGGAGAGTTGAATCGCTTCAGGACTTTGAGTCCAATGAACGAATCACTTAAACCCCCACCTTCGGCTTCAACTCGGAGAGGTGGCTATACTCGACAGAAGCGTGGATGTCTAACCTGTCGTCAACGGTATGTCGGGGGTCTCATGCATCAGTTAGGTCCATATGCTAATCAATCCCAGAAAGAAGAAATGTGACCAGCTTTACCCCATCTGCAGTCACTGTTTGCGTCTCAATCTAGTATGCAAGCGAGAGCCTCCACGCTCAGTGCTACGGTCACCTGGGGCGGCTACGGGAGGTTCTGAAGTGACCGAGACAAGAGTTATGAGAACCCCGAGCATAGACCAGCAAATCAAAGAGGTCACGCAACTATGTCAACCTCTTGGACTCTCGCTGGAACCTGGTGACGCCAACTCGGAAAATCTCGTGGGAAGTAGACGAGTGATGCTGCGTTACTACACGGTGACTCTTGCGTTTCTACTGACCACGAATCTCGAAAATAACTGCTTCCTCTCTGGTATGTGCACTGAACACTAGGTACCTAGATAACTGTAACAGCTTACCTGAAAAGTTATCCTTCCCATGGCGTTCGAATGTCCTGCCCTGGTGTATGCCGTCTCAGCATGGGCTTCTTCCCACTTAGCATTACGCGACGAGAAGTTCAGAGCGGATTCGCTAAGGCATCGTGGACATGCTTTGGCTCAGCTTCAAAAGTCAATGAAGCATAGTGAGCTATCCACTGAGATGTGCCTTGTTGTGACCATGGTCCTCTGTTCTATGGAGTCAATATCCGAGGCTACTGATGCCTGGTATCCTCACTTGAAAGGCGCTGCTGCCGCATTAGCTTGGCAGTCCGAGGACTCTCTCGCGGCGGTAGATCCAAAGCAAGCTGTTCAGGATACCTTTGAGGGGAGGTGGCTTCTCCGCAATTTTGCCTATCATGATATCATGATGAGTGTCTCGATGAATTGCCGTCCATTAGTAAGGGGGTTCTACTGGGCCTCAGAGGATGACACACTCGCAGATCCCTATTTTGGATTTGCGTCGCGGATACTGTATCTCATCTCCGAGACTAGCATCCTGAATGCCGACTTCGCAGAAGCAGAATCGGGATCACAGACCCGCGGTTATAGTTTTGCCGAACGCTCACAAAAGATAGAAAGTGAACTCCAGAATTGGGTTTGCCCTTCGGGCCACGATGATTCACCGCTAGCGTTGCTTGGTGAAGCCTACCGCAACGCGGCGCTCATTCATCTTTACCGAACCCTTTCTCGCTACATCAAAAGCTATTCTGGCATTCTGAAAGCGAAGCTGAGTGCTTGTGTAGATTCGATATGTAAGCTTAGCAGACAAGTGTCAGAGGGTTGCCTCGTGGAATGCACCCTCCTTTTCCCCCTTTTCATGGCAGGAGGAGAAGCCCACGAGACAAGTGAGATAGAGATTATTAGAGAGAAGCTTGGCGAGATGATCAAGTGGCGAAAATTCCGAAACGTTGAGGCTTGTCTTGATGTTCTTGATGAAGTATGGCGGCGAAGAATGGATGGGTCAAGGAGGGAAGACCAAGATAAGGTCGACTGGCCAGATGTGGTGAAGCAACGGGGCTGGAAGCTTTCCATTTCGTAATTGCGAAGTTCCGAATCCCGAGAAAAAGGTTCTTCTTCTTCTCACTGAACATAAGTTAATCCCTAGAACATATGTCAGCGACATACGACCTTCATTCAATTAAGCTCCACCCCAGATCTGGGGCCGCCGTTGGCGCCAGGGGTTGCGCCATGCGGCTTAACGACATGTACTCTTATCACCTCACTGTTTCTGCATTAGACTTTAAATGTAAGATATATAACCGTCACTCTGTTGATCGCCCGGTGGTAAATGGTTATAAAACACCAGCTTGTCTCTACTTTCCTCACACCAACGCAAACCAACTCTCCCTTCCCGTTCATACCCAAAGAAATCTTATCAGTCACCAAGACGGCTACTACGACGCAAACTGTGACCATGATAGCAAATACCTCGAAGGAAGAAGAGCTCAAAGAACCTGCGGATCAAGCTGCTGTTCCATATCGAGGTCCTCGTCTTCCAGCTGTTCCTGACGACCTTGTCGTTCCAGGAATCTTCGACTTTGAATGCGACGAGCGTCTCTGGGTCCCACAAGCACCAGACGTTTGGTTCCGACCTCTTCTTCTCTCCGTTTCTGGCGGCTACTTTGTCAACATTCTTCGAGTCCGAAGATCTGGTATCCTCTCGCGTCATCGCCACGCTGGCTGTGTGCACGCAACAGTTCTCAAGGGCCGCTGGCATTATCTAGAGCATCCGTGGTGGGCGACAGAGGGCGGTTATGCTTTTGAACCTCCTGGAGACATTCATACTCTCGAGGTTCCAGAGGATGTGAAGGAGATGGTGACCATGTTTCATGTCACGGGGGCTTATATCTATGTTGACCCTGACGGCAATCCTGTTGGTGTGGAAGATGTTTTCAGCAAGTTGGACAAAGCACGGAAGCACTATGAAGCTGTTGGACTCGGGGCAAGCTTCGCAGATCAATTTGTGAGGTAAACGAACAGTTGAGCGACAGGGAATAGGTTTAAATACGACCGGTTTTGTTAGATTGCCTGGCCCCAGGGTTTGTTATTTCCTGGGTTACACTATCAGCCTGCTGTATGGTCTAAATTGATAGCATATCACTAGCACAAGGTTGGACTTTCATCGTGCCTTTCTTTATTAGGCGCTTTTTAACAATTAGGTTTATTAATATGTTTAAGACTAAACTGTTTGGTTTCAAGGGTCATAAACTACATGTTATAAACAGTAGCTAGTAATTGTTAAAGTAAATAGAAGACAGGCTTTTAATCTCTAAATTATCTAAGAGCCTACTAAGTATATAGAATTTTTATTTAATTTTTATATAACTTACCTAAGTCTTTTCTCACTTAGGATGACCATTTCATATGTGTTTCCCTTTCTTACCTTACCCTAGGTCCCGTCGATCCAATCAACTGCCTTATTAAAGAAGAGCTTATGGGAGACAATTCAAATATTCCCAACTATAAATCGGACTTTTAATATGTATCCCTCTTCCCTGGATTCAAATGACGAGTTTTCTGCCATTCTCTAAGATATTCTCAATTGTGAGGTATATAGAGGCAGCGATGTCGGCTTTAGCCTCAGTATAGTGCAAATACAGATGTTTGTAAGAAAAGAAAACGCCATGACTTGTCCTTTTTGCTCCTTTACTTTCTCACCTCCATGGGAAATTCGGGTTCTGACATTATATAATTTTATTCAAGGCATGATCTCGTCCCACAGACACTTGATTGTTTTTGCTCCTCTACGAAGGCCAAAACGAACCTTTCCTGTTGAACCCCGCATGAACAAGTGGCTCACTATCTCAAACCCCGTATTTGCCCGCCTAAAAAATGGTAGTGCCGTACTAGTTACCCTGCAACTTTTCATCACACAACTGAGAGGCAATTCCTCCCCACGATCACGACATTATCACGACATCGCCAACGCCTTCTTTGGTCTTCAATTGGGTTAAATACAGGCGAAAGCTGAAGTCGAAGACACCCACAGACGAGTAAAGACGGAATAGCTCGTGAGAAGTTTCGTCTCTGAGCCAATTGACTGCATCTCATCCCAATTCTTCTCACAGCTTGGTGACAGCCTCATCCTCAAGAAAGACACTGCAACACAACATTCCCAGAGACCTAACCATTCTTGGTACACGAACAACCCTAAGACTCGGGGCTGAGAGTGTAGTCACGCTGCTCCAGATTTTCCTTTGACGGCGCATCAAAAATCTCAGTCGATCCGGCGACACCGATCATAACCAAGGTATCATGGCCAGCCAACACAAACCTGTTGTCAGCTTCCTCGGCCCAGTGGCCTCATACACCCATCAGGTAAAGCCTATCCTATAGCTATCCCCTATAGCGACGACCGCATGCCACTAGCCTTGACTGACCTGGCCCCATAGGCTGTCCGTCAGGCCTTTTCTGAGTCAACGTGGGAATTCTCCCCTGCAGTTACTATTGATGGTACGTTTTAGTCAATGCATTGCAGTCGGGATGTCCGTACTGACTTTCCTGGCAAAGACGTATTTGACCAGGTCCAAAGTGGCCAGGTGCAAGCTGGTGTTGTGCCGTTTGAGAACTCCACCAATGGTTCTGTGAGCTTCACTTTGGACAACCTGGCTGACAGAACGAACCATTATCCGGATATCACTGTCGATGGCGAGACATACGTGGACGTTCACCATTGCCTTGTTGGTCACAAGAGCCCTGTGCCAGCTGTCGAGGATATTGCTGAAGGATCCGGTACTTGCACTCCGACAGCGACAGACCCGTCACCTTCAAAACCACGGTCCAGGCCCCTGGCGAGCCTCAAGCACATTCAACGCTTATATTCGCACCCCCAAGCATTTGGCCAATGTACAGCTTTCATCTCCACATATCTCAAGGGTGTCGAAATTTTCGAAGTCAGCTCAACTAGCAAGGCAGCTGAAATTGTCAGTAAGGACACAACGGGCACCTGGGCCGCCATCTCAAGCGAGCTCGCCGCTAAACTTCATGGTCTCGATTTTCTGGGGAAATCGATTGAGGATAGAGAGGATAACACTACCCGTTTCTTCGTGATTGGTAAAAACGCTGCAGGCCCAAAGGACCTTGGAAAAACCGAAAAAGCTGTTGCTGAGAAGGGAAGCAAGTCGCTTGTCTCTTTCACAGTGCCTCACACATCACCTGGGGCTTTGGCGGATGTGTTGAGCTGCTTCCGAACATTCGACATCAACTTGACCAGCATCAACACTCTACCAAGCCTTGTGAAACCCTTCCAGTACATTTTCTTCATTGAATTTGAAGGCCACAAGTATGTCGATCCTGAGCGCCGGGTCAACGGTGCGTTGGAAAAAATCAGTCGTGTGGCCGAGAGTTGGAGGTGGCTTGGAAGCTGGGAAAGATACATATAACTTTACCAAAAGCAACAAACGAATTGTCCACCAATTCCATGATGTACGTGCATTCACTTTGACAACTAGCAGCACCTCTTGCATACACGCGATGCAAAAGGCAGCATTACAAGTCGCGACGAACTCCCCGCGGAAACAGAGCAATAGCTTGAGAAGCTTTGGAGAACTCCCCGTGAGCCCAGTGGGGCTGATTGCGTGCTCTCTAAGGTACCTAAGGTCGCCCTGGCAGGTCTTTCTTTAGCAGGGCCTGGGCGCATTGAAGATCATACTGTATTTCCTGTACCGCCGTCGGACCGTCCCACGTCAAAGACAACGGCTTTGTAAACGGAACATTGGACTCACTTTTACATTATCTTGGTCAGATTATGTATACTTGCACAAAACCACCACCACGATGCCCTCTCGTACAGAGTGACTGACACTCATGGAAAAAGAGACGACTCCCCCACTACCCGGGATACGCGAACATGTTTGCCAATGCTGAGCTTACGCTATTGAATCTGTTTCAGGCACTTGCAGGACACAACTCACAGCAACGGAAAAAGACATGCGTGGGATTGGCCTGGATCGGGCTTGACCCAGCCGCGTGGGGCAGGTCGGAGGAATTGACCCTTGGGAAAGCTTTGCAAGGCCACTAAGGGCAGGGATTAAAAAACGAAGGGCCCGATAAAGCCTTGGGGGACTGTGGGATGGGCTCAAAAAGCATCAATGAGGAGCGAGAAAACTCGGATACTTGAGAGATATCTCGTCTTTGTTGCCCCAGCGGAGACCACTATCGACCAACATGACGTACACGCCTTAACGCCGCATGCGCAACACTCAGAGGGAGACCACTAAGGGTCGTTCATGAGCCACACGCCCAGGTTCAAGGTGGGAGGGCCTAACCAGGTTAGTAATGGTCTACGGACCATCGCTTCAACAATTAGTTACCATCGGGCGATGGTCCGGAAGCTCTCCAGCAAACTCTGTGAGTACCTTACTCAGGTACCTACCTACCTACCTGCTGTGTGCTGAGCGTCTCGAATACTGCAGTACCTTTTAATGGCTTGATCTGCTGTTTCGTGTTCTTGGACATTTACTCTTCTTCTCACCCTTTCTGCTCTTCCTCCAGCTTAATGTTGCAGCGACAACACTTAACTGCTATATCTCCCTTTTACTCTTGGTTCTTTATCCCAAAATGGCGCTCCGCCCTATCTTTACTGCCACGCACCCACGTGCATGCTCTACAGCCTTTGAGCGGGTATGTCAAGCCCCCGAAAATCCAAGATCATGCCGTATTCCCAGTGCTGAAATTGTATGATTGCGCTCTCTGCCATGATGCTAACTCTGGTTATTTCATAGGTCTTCATGGCCCGCCGCGATATCCTAGAGAGCGTTCACGAACCTTTTGGAGATGCCTTCTACTATGGTCCTGAGATCCTCAGTGATCGTTTCAGAAACGACACTGCCACTCGTGAGCAGAGTGGTTTCTCGCAAAAGACCTACAAGGACGTCCTCAACGAGGTCATGGATGCGGGCAAAGATGTCAGTATAATCTCCCCTCCATTCTCATCATGGTTCATGCGATCGTCCGAACTCCCCGAACTCCCCGTGACTACCCCCGCCTTGTCGAATGAGGGGAACTGCAAGCCAAACAAGAAACATTGTGCCACGGCCA